AAAGCATAAAGTAAAACTTAGGCTATTAGAAAATAAATTATTTTGGGCACAGTTATCAGAACACTAAAAGAAAGCTGTGATGTAATTCTATATGTACTTTCTTATTAACACATTTAAAAACAACACATACCATTATTTTAAAGTAGTAACTTCTTTTTTTTGGTCTTTGTGAGACAAGGTCTCGCTATGCAGTTCAGGCTGGCCTTGGGCTCACTTTGTAGCCCAGGCTGGTCTCAAACTCACAACGATCCTCCTGCCTCAGCCTCCGGAGTGCTGGGATTACAGGCATGAGCCACCACGCCCGGCTTAAAGTAACAACTTCTTTAAAAGTAGTATATAAATGCTATGTAAGTTATCTGCACACAAGTCCCACATGATATGAAAATAGTTGTGATTCTACTAGCAGCAAAAGGAGAGTTACAGTGAGTCCTGGGAGGCTGTGCTGACTGCACCTACTGAAGACTGGGCACAGCTCACATCCTGAGAAGTGAAGGAAGGTTCCCAGGGGAAGAGATGCTTTAATAATTTTAGAACAAATACGTTAATTATAAAGTTCTCACATGTTGAAATGGCTGATTCTGGAAATACAGGCACAGACAAGCCTGAACAGTACACAGAAGATCATGGTCCAGACCCGGAGAGTGCTTTGAGCTCACTGTCAGGCACCAGCTCTGGCACTGTACTGTTTTCTTACACAGTTTGCCTAAGATATAGCTGACATTAAATCTACCTACTAAAATGTGTGGCTTCATAGTTTAATCTCTGCCATACCCAGAACAAACTCCAACCCTCCCAGGTCTCCCCTTTCTTACCCCTCTCCACAGGTGCCAAGCAACCCCAAAAGCTACTTTTTATCATTATGAAGTTGTTCATCTTAGACTTTCCACACACAAAGCTGTCTCCATCATTCAGCATTTTTTATTTTATAAAATCACCACAAACACTGTGTCAGAGATCACGGCTCCCGGGGAACAAGGTCAGGCCGACATGAACATTTAGTTACAGAACTTCCACCAACTGGCCAATGCATCACCTAATTTTCCACGTCCTGTCTCAAGACTCCTTATAAATAAGGAGTTAAAACACGTACTGCTGAGTCATGAACATGAAACTCATGGCCAATGTGCCCGAGCACATCTGCCTGAGGCACTGGGAAACCCTTCAGCCCTACACTGGGGCCTGTAAAACAGCAAAATCACCAACAAAAAGCAAGCAGCATATCTAACCTGTGGCACTGACAGACTGTGAGGAGGGTGCTGGCTTGCTGTGGGGTGTGGGAGGCAGCTAAGACAACAGAGACGCACTACGCTGTTTTCTATTTTATGGGGCCTCTGCACGGAGTGCATCCCCAGCCCTTTTTATTTTTTAGCAAGGTCTTGCTAAATCCCTAAGTTGCCCAAGCTAGACTCAATTTTGTGATCCTCCTGCCTCAGCCTCCTAGAGTGCTGTGATCACACTAATGTAACACTGTACCCAGCATTTCTGTGTTTGATAGCAGGTGGGTACACGTGCAATGGTGACTCATTTCTAAACACTTTGAGCATGTCTTCAAATGACCACAAAATCGCACTAAATATTGATTTGGAATTATAAATAAATTTTGACAAAAAGGCAAATATGCAAATACAGAATCCCCAAATAATGAGGATCACCTGTAAAATGCAACATAGAGCAAGTGACCTTTGTCTGCCTGCTTCAGTCGGTATACTGCTTTGGAGTTCATCTACACTGCTAAGTATGCATGCAGTGCTTCATTTCCTTTTATGGCTCAGCAACTGTCCTTGGTAAAAACATGTATGCTTTACTTATCCATCTGTTGGCTGAGGGATGTCCGCTCTTTCCACCTCTTGCTGTGTGAATAATATCACTGTCAACCTCCATGTGACATGGATCCATGTCATCCACATGCTGGTGTTCTGTAGGGGTTTACATCTGCATTCACAGGGAATGCTAGTCTGTAATTTTACTGTCATGTTCTTGTGTGGTTTAAAGAAAGAGATTATTTTAAGTAGATGATTTACTTTTAAAATAGTTGTGGGTTTTTCTCAGCACACATTAGGAGAATGTTGACCTTTCATCTGTGATAGTGATACAGTTTTCTGCTAAAGCATATTTTAGTAGTAAGACATATCACTGTAGAGATGTGGAGAGCGGCTGCCATGATACACGGCAGTATTCAGCCTCTCAGGGGAGTCCTCAGGACCTAGCTGCCACATACATTGGATCTTCAAAATGATAGATCAGCATGTCTGTCCTGAACCTGAGGGAGTGTGGCTATTCACGAACACACAGGTGCCCCCAACTCTATCCTGCATATTGTTGCCGCTATGAGAACTTAGTGATGAAGGCAAGAAGGTGCCGGTAACGGAACATGGGAATGAGACAGTGAATGTGTGACCAGAAAAAGGCTTGCTGGCATGGAAGCCGATGACAACTAAGGCACCAGAAGCTGCCCTCCCATTTCACAGATGGGGTGCTGATCTCAGGGGGTTGAGTGGGTGAGAGAGGCCTGAGGAAGGGCTGATGGAATAGGCAGGGGCTATCAGTGATGTGCTTGCCAGAGACACCAGAGTCAGGAAACCTAAGCTAGTTGGAATATGCTATGTTGTGACTCTGAGGATAGAAGAAGGTAAAGAATAAAGGTAGGGTGTGGGGCCTAAGTGGCAAGAGAAAAGGGGACAGGGCAATACTTCTAAACTGTGTGGGAGTTAATGGAACCCTCAAACCTGAAGTTTCTGCAGCTCCCTGGCAGACAGGCATACTTCATCCAGGCCAACCTCTGCTAGGACCTCAAACCCCAATTCTTTTTTTTTTTTTAATTTAAGAGGAAAAAGAGAAAAACACAAAACAAAACAAAGCGGTGAAAGGGTACACGTAATACAGATCTAAAAACAAAAAACAAAAAAAGTAACAGTAAGAAATCACCTGTTAGTAGATTACATATTATCATCTTGAAAATAGTTGCTCAAATCACAGTATCAAAGAATACAAGGTGGACATTCAAACAGGGAGACTGCAAACAGCTGTGTTCAATGATCCAAAAACATTGATATAGTCAGCTATTTAACACCCCTAAACACGCTTGCTGTTATATCCGTTAGAGCTCTTTTTCTTTTTACTTTTTTTTTTTCCCTCTCTTTTTTACAACAAAATTTACACATTTTGGATTTTATTACTCCTTAGTGCTTATTACTTTTTTTGGGGGGAGAGAATACAGTCAAATATGGCAAAACAAAGCTGTCAGTCAAAACCAAGGATAGACATAGCACATGGTGTGGAACAGAGTACAAGGTTATCAACAATGTCAAACCCCAATTCTGTAGTCACGGGGCACAAAGACCGTCTTCCTGTACAATGTGTAACAAGATCCGTGTGCACATGTGCCATTTGTTGGCACACTCATATCTTTGTCCTGCCCCTCATGAGCACGAGAATGACCAGAAGCAAGGTCCCTGGGCCCTGAGGTCTGGGGAAACAGACAGCAAGAACACAGAAATATCAGACTAAGAGAACAAAGCATCAACAGATTTCTGACTGGTGTGAGGGACACAGAGCTCCAGGTAGGGGCAGCAAGAGGGGACAGGTGTCTGTCCCAGGGCCATCTGGGCAGTGGTGACCACCAGAGGTCAGAGGAGAGGGATGCTGGAGGCTACGCAGAGCCCTGAAGGAACTGTGGGGAGTCCTGGCCCCAAGTTACCCACTGTTCACCGTGTGAGACAGCTGTGCTGACATCTCCGTACTGTCAGCAGGACACATGGCTTAGAAACACCGCAGATGCACAGAGCTCTGATCTGCTGCCAGAGAATGGGCCTGCAGTGAGGTTAGCAGGCTTTCTGCTATCTCCCATCACCACAGGTGGGAAGAACACAAGAGCTGACACAGCACAGACTGCAAACTGGCAGGCTGCTCAGCATATCGCCTCGTGGGATCTGATGGGCAGTACCGCTGGCACCCCACTTTGCAAATGAGGACCGTCAGATGCAGGACACAAAGGGTCCTGCCTGTTGACGTGAACCCTGCAGTTGGTTCCCACCCCATCACTCCTTCGCCTTTTCATCTAGCACCCTACTGCTGCTTCCTCTGGTTCCTTTTCATCAAGCTCTCCCTGAATATGCCAGAGAGTCCGATGACAGTGTACATAACAGCAGATACAGTGCTGTGATGTCACTCTGCAAGGGCTCCACTGGCTGCTCTCATCTTTGAGGCAGTGCTCACTGTGTGCATGAGAGAAATGCCCAGGAAGGAGGGATAATCACTACCAAACCCATTACAGAAAAGCCATTTTCCTAATTTCATCTGCAGCTCATTCTTTCCTTTAGCACATTAGTTTGAAAAGACAGAGTTCTCCTAAATTTATAGAGGAAAAAGGAATGCAAAATGCACTTGTAGGATATGACCAGGCCAGGGTTCCATAGTGACTCTGTAGCCAGAGCCCACTTTCAAACAAGCACCGACCATGCCAGTAATTTATTTTCACATAAATGATACTGTTATTACTTAGAGCACAGCTAGGCTTCAGAGTTAAACAATAACTAAAATTATAGGGGCTGGAGATTTAGCTTAGCGGCATAAGCACCTGCCTTGCAAGCAGGCGGTCGTGAGTTCGATCCCTGGTACCGATTAAAAAAAAAAAAAGATGGAAAATTATAACTTAAAGTTAACTTATTTCCCAGTCCCAAAAGGACATGGAAAATACATCTGACCTAAAGTTTAATTCTTATGCTATCAAGTGCCTCTTCATTACTGCATTCACTTGTTTTCAGTTAAAATACTAGAAGTATTAGTTTTGTTTTTCCTTAGCATTTAAAAAGCAGAAGTCAACAATAAAGTAAAAAGCAATTTTTCTATGTTTAAGCCTTTTTACTTATTTGACCAAAAAATTTAGTATCTTTATTCTCTTACCATGGGTTAGAAAACAAAATCTCCTAATCTTATCATGAAGGAGCAAATTAAGAATCATATTTTGTCTTAAATGACTACTGAGAAAAGCTGCCAGGTACCTCGTTTCTGGATGAAGACTCTGAGCAAAGGATTTGCACTGGAGACTGCCTTGCAGAAGTTGTCATCATTGTTGATGGGCAGCAGGTCCCCGTGCACATCTGCATAGCCAATGGTCACTTCGGTGTTGGAGATGTGGTGAGTGTGCACAACCAACTGGTAGAAATCTTCAAACTTCCCAGGTTTATGACGGTCCAAAGAGAACCTTCGAAACTCAGCCCCAAACTGCAACGCAAGAAATAGGTATAAGCCAGAAAAATGTGCAGTTTGTTCGTGAGATAAATAAGTGGTTACTGAGCCCTCAAGAGGCCCCACAGACACAGCAGCAAATAATGTAACTGTTCTCATAACTGATGTTGAGAAAATAATTATCAGGCAGAAAAGGGAAGATATGAAAAGGCCCTAACTGAGAAGCAGCTCGGATCCTCATCTGCAATGGCCCATATCCTCATGACAGAACCACTTAGTCCACTGCGCTCAGCTTGCCGGAAAAGCCAGGTAAAGATTGGTTATAAACCTGGGGGGATGGTCCACACTGATCCCACAGGAGGCCTTGACCCCTCTGAGGTCTTAGAAGAGTCTTCACAGTGTCACAGCAGGGCTCTGAAAACTCAGGCAGGAGAGGAAGTATCTCTTGGGTTTTTTTTTTGTTTTTTTTTAAATAATGGCAAGGTGAAGCCCTATGGGTTTTTAATTTTAAGGCAGACATGTCCTGATTTGATCTGTGTTTTAACAGGCCCAAATGGCCACATTTCAAAAGGGTCACGATTGGAAGGAAATTTGAAAACAGGGAGTGAGCTGAAATTAGCCCTGACTAACAACAAATCAGGGGGGAGACAAGATAGACACTTTGGGTGCTGGCCAAGAGACAGCTTCTCCGCAAAGAAATTAAATTCCTGCTTCTGGACTGGAATAAGGTGGGTGGGGGTGAACACAGGAAAATGCAAGACCAGTCCTTTCCTGCAGATGCTGGTCCTGGGCTGGCTGTCCCAGGACTGCCCCCGGCCCTCCCACGAGTACCCCTATATTGGTTCACCGACGCAGGCCATGCAGCTGTTGCTTGCCTGGCAAGAGGGCCCAGTCTTCACTAGGTGGTATGCGACCTCTGCTTTTCTATACAATTGAAAGCTAATTAAATGGGATCCAAAATGTATAAAAATTAAATGTCTAGTGTTTTCATAAAAAGAGTTATTGCATCATTTCCACATCACACCACTGAGTAACAAACGAATCATCACAAATCAGAGTGCACTAGAATCCTTTGGAGGGCCCTCGGAGTTTGACATGTGGCCCAAGAATTTATGTTTTTAACAAATTCCCAGAAGCTGCTGATGCTAGTGATCTGAGGCCATATGCAGAAAACCACTAGTTTCAAGGAAACAACCAGCAACCCCAACTTTCAGGGAAATGACCGCCTGAGAACCAGTTCTTTCCCTTTCCTCCAGGTCACCCATGAGAAGTCAACCTCTTCTCTAACTGCAGGCACCCAACAGTGGGACAATTCAAAATGCTGAATGAGAAAAGCCATGTTTAACGACTAAAGGCCCAAAAGCTCTTTCCACACGCTCTGCAGGTGAAGGATGAGATTCCAAAACCCAATGCTAGGCCAGCTACAGCTCTGAAATGATAGCGGAAAGGGGTGTCCTCCATGTCCTGCTGTTCCCTCAAAACTCTGCCCCCATTACTCATAGATAAGCATCAAATTCCCCTCAGTATGAAGGAAGGTGTGTGAACCAGGCAAATTCCTTCACACACAGGGCTGTAAAACTTTGATACTAGCAATAAAGCCCACAGCAGAAGTTTTACACAATTGCTTTCAGATTTGATTATTCAGTCAAATCACAAAATATCCATTTCACTAACAGGCAACCTTTAACTTTTCCATCTAGTGACTTCCAAAGCAGTTTGCTTTTTATCAGTGCACATGAAAGACTGTGATCACATGTAATGGCACAGGTAAAAAAAAGACCCATCTCTGACATTTATACAGAATCTGACAAAAAATACACACACTTCAGGAAAAGAAATAGAGTTTTCAACAGATGGTGTTACCCTTGTACTGGGGACCCTAGAGAAAGTCATGTATTGCAGGAAACCACTACACTGGTGGACCTTAGAGAAGAAACTGAAAATGTACGTGCAGCAGTCTCAGTGAATCAAGGTTACCCAAGCAACAGTTTGCCACACTAATAAATGACTGGAAGCTCATGCCATCGCACTGAGCATCTCTTGTAACTGTAGAGGCCAAAGGTAACTTGTATTAATTTCATGACATCTTAATAACTTTTGTATTTACACAAGTTTTAATTTTCCTGAAGTGAGTATACATTCTTTTGGTAGATGCAGTATATAAGGACAGTTTTCATTAGCATGTCCCCAACAGGTCACAGCACACACGCTTACCTAAAGGGTGCTGCTGACCCTTCCCTCACAGCTTACATATCAACATGGGATGTTGAACATGCACTTCTACGTTTCTATCTTGACTGCATTAACAACTCATCTAAGAAGCTTCTTGACGTATTCCTATTTCTCTCAAAACATGTCTTCATATGTTAATCTGAAAGGCAAAGTGAATTCGGATGTTTTCTGAGACAAAACAAGCTGTGCTTGTGTCTGACAAGGAGACTGGCTTTGTGGCTTTCTGTGCAGTGAACTACTTTACATGTTGAATGAGATGCAGTTTTGATAAGAGGTATGAAATATGATCTGATAAAGCATTTTATTTAAGAATCTTATTGACATGAGGTAATAAATTAATAGTTTTATTTTATTTTATTTTTATTTCCCCCCTTCTATCAGATTAAAAATAAGGGGCCTCCAAATGAAGAAAATTGCAAAAGCAGTTCACTGACTTTTTAGTACATTCATCAAAAATTGAAAAAGTCAAGTAGTCTTTACTTTCAAAGAAACTGAAAGTTATTCTAATTAAACCATCAGCTGAAAGATTACCCAAATAATTTGAGTAACAGGTCATATCATGGTCACTCACTCATGGCACGTGACCTCGTGAGACTTCAGAGTTGAGCCAGGAGGCTGCTTTCATTGCCCTGCTTTTTACTTCCATTTATGTAAGCATTTGATTTGTTTATGTAATAAACAAAGTTTACACCTATGTTGATATCCACAGCAAAGAAAAACAGCAAAGAACTGACGCTGTCCCTGTCTCCTTTAGCAATAAACACAGTAATTCTTTTAATTTTTAAATTTTCAGAACTTGTTTGTAATACATTATTACAACATGGGAGTTAGAACACTCTGTTAAGTGAAGAATTTTCAAGGTGTTTACTTTGGGTGATTAACAATGATCAATTTTTACAACTGTTTCAATCATAATTTGATGACTAATGACTCAATCTATAATTTTTTGGAAAACGTCTGCGATTTCCCATCTTAACCATTTTTTTTAATTTTAAAGAGAATAAAACCAAGCATAATAAAGTAGAATAAAACCAATCTAAACAAACCAGTATAAGTGGCACAGGGCTATAAAACAGTAAGAAATCAACAATAGTTACCATGATGCCTCTTGTTATCTTTAGAACAGCTGCCCATACCTTTACACATAGTAAAAATCAAACAAAACAGAGCAGAATAGAAATAAAAACAAAACAGCAAATGCAATAAAGGACTTCAAAAAAGACAACAGTAAATCCAAAATGGCTACCCCAATCTATCTTGGTATCTCCAAAAGAGTGCCCATGCCACTGGACCTAATAAAATCAAACAACACAAAACAGAATAAAACTTAACAAAATAAAACATTGAATGTGATACAGGACTTCAAAACAAGGTAACAGGGAATCAACAATGACTGCCACTTTCAGGAGGAGATCCCCGTAGTGCTACACGGTGTACCGCCATCCTCTGAACAGACGATCAGACTACCGGCTTTAGACCTGCAAGGTCAGTAAAACACTAACCGTTACAAGCACTGAATTGTGTTTTACTTCATCAGTTATCATCACAGCCTGTGTTTCTCTGGATCAGCCAGTTGTTTATGGAGGGAGGGCTCCTTCTTGTTTTCCAGCCCACATGCCAGAAGGGGCTGGCATCCGGCCCTCCCCACCATGGCCTGTGCATGGTGCTGACTTGCAGGGCGGGCTTGCATGTTGACTTGTTATTCTCTTCCCCTGCAGTCCGTGAGTGGCACTGACTCATGGGAAGAGGCTGGCTGTCCCCTCAGCGGCCCATGCATGGCCCCAATTGTCACGGACGGTGTCTTGCTTACTTTTTATTTGTTGCTGAGACAAAATATCTGATGCCCAAAATGAAGGAAGGAAAGGTTTATTTTTTACAGTTTTGGGGGGTGTCAGTTTATATTTTGACACTTTTTAAAACTTTTATTTTCAAGATGGTAAAACAGAACAAAGCAGATCAGAAGAAAACAATGTAAGTGACACAGATTTCAAAGCAAGACAACAGGGAATCAACACTGGCTACCATAATGTCTCTTGTTTTCTTCTAAATAGTTGTCTGTATCTTCACACATAATGAATTCATACAAAACAAAATAGTATAAAACTCACCAAAACAGAATGAAGGCAGCACAGGCCTTCAAAACAAGACAATAGGAAAATCAACAATGGCTACCTTAATGTCTTGTGTTCTCTTGAAAATAGCTGTCCATACCTTTATGTATGTTGAAACTAACTAATACAAAACAGACTAAAATCATTCTGAACAAAGAAAAAAGCATTACTGGATTTCACAGCATGACGACAGGGAAACAGCAATGGATACCATAATGTCTCTTTTTCTTAAAAGTAGCTGTTCATTTCGTCACGTGTAATGCAATCAAATCTCATAAACTGTTTAGGAGTTCTAGGCATGTATAAGCCTTTATATGTTCTAGGCATGTGTCTTTGTGCATTAGAGGGAAAAACAAAACAAAACAAATTATTAGAAAAACAAGAATCACAAAAGGCAAATACAAATAATAGCAAAGAGCTCAAAAACAATGACAATACAGGCCTTCTAAAACAAAGTGGTAGGAACATAACTAAGGTTGATATTTTACAGTGATCTTCAAAAGAGTTCCTCAGATCACTAGACAATCACGCAAAATTGTTCCAGTCCTACGAATGTTAACTGTTTTGTACTAAAAACTAACAGAATTTTTAGCACAATCATCTTAGCTATCCTAAGTGTTTATAGAAATCTAGATATTTTTTCTTTTCCCTTCCTTGTTTTTCTCCTTTTCCTTGACATAGTATTTTTCCCAC